CGGGCGGAGGGAGGCTGGAGGGCAAGCCCGGGACAATCCCGGCCTGCCTCTCCCCTTCGGGTCCCGGCCAGAGGAGATCCCCTCCAGTGCGCCCAAGAGGCCCTCCGAGTCAACCGCAGCCCCGAGCGGGAAGGGGCGGTCAACAATGACACGGGGCAAGAAAAGACGCGCTCGGAGGCAACAGGGACACCGAGATCTGCCCTGCTCTGTCGGGCGGCTTCTTTGACCTTGTTTCATTCCGCCGCCGCCCCCCCCCCCAGCCCCGAGCTCGGTGGAGAGAGCCAAAGATGCGTACTTGACTTGTGAGATCATCCAGCTAAAATCACGCAGACTAGTTACCTCCCTCCCCCTCCCTTAACATCGTACTTTAATCAGGTTGGTTGAGGTACCCTTCCCCCCCATACCTGTTTATGGACGGGGTGGACATTTTAATCCTTGTTTTGCGATTGTTAGAAGGGGGGGTCGGGGGAGGAGGAGGTCCTTATTCCTGATTAAAGGATGCCTAAGGAAGGTCAGCGATGGGGGGGGGGGATTCTGACGATTCCCATCAAACCCCGCTCCCTGGAACAACTTGCGAGGAAGTAAGCGGGGAGAATAATGTATCTAAAACAGATCATCCAACACAGCGTGAGTTTTAGTCTGTATCAGCTCCCTGGTCCCCAGACTTTTTGAGGATTTGAAAGACGACTGCAAGAACTAGCGACAACTTTATCTTTTCTTGCGCTTAACGAGATTGCGCCGAGCAGCCGCTGGATGGAGGGGTAGGAGTGAGTGATTGGACGGCTTCAGCGCCATTAATGCGATGATTCGATCCTCTGAAATGCAGCGCACCTAATTGCAGCCAGCTATTTCTTTCTCTCTGATACCTCTCTAGGGCTTTTAATGTTACTCTTTTACGGTCATTTAATTATTTTTAAATCCTCCATCCCTTGGCAAATTTGAAAGCGATGGTGGCATGTAATTAGATAGAGGAGCCACAATAAGAGGAAATTAAGAAACAAACAAACACCTAGATAGATATTTGAACCTTGCAGTAGATCAGAGAAGCAGTTAGGTCATCCACATTCCTGAATGAATGAATGAATAAACAAATAACCCTTCGTAGTGACCAGAATAAAGTGAGAATATTTCCCTTGAAGGGGAAGTTATTTTTTCATACTCTGAATATTCGTTGTTTTAAAAGAAGGGCATTTACTGCCCTCTTTCATAAGTACCGTAAATATTGCAGTTGGGAAATGTGAATAATCTCTGACTTCTGCTACGATTGCACAAAATTGATCTGCTAGCCGCGCAGGAAGGAAATGAAAGCGGCTGCCTGACCTGGGGTAATTGAAATCTGAAGGTTAAAACTAGCCCACTTAAAAAATACATATTAATGTAGTCTTCTGCTGCATCTATTGAACTTCTGCCTGCTATTTTAATATTTGAAACATTAAAGGACACATGCATTAAAAATGGTCAGGGACTCAAAAGAGGTACGCCCGAAATCTGCTCTGATTAAACGCTTTGCTTCCTTTTTCCCAATCTACTTTTTTTTAACCCATATATTAAACGCATTTTTAGCATGTTTATTTTGCCCCAAAGGTGGATTGTTTTATTGTGGTGACCTCAAATGTGTACTAGGCATATCTGGGTAAAATTTACATCGCTATTAAACACCCACTTAATGCACTAACAAACGTCTGTCACTCTGCTCATCATATTTCATATATATATTTTAATACCCATGTGAGTCACGTTGCCCTTATCGAGGGCGGCGGAATTCCCTTACACTGTACTGGCAGATGAGGAGAAGGGCTGGTTTCTGACTAAACACTGGAAACCCTTCCGTCCCAAAAGGGCAGCAGCCTCCTTATTTTGCTCATCTCTCAGGGACTTTGCAGGAAGGGCTTTCTCTGGTACCTCACACTCGGGAAAGCACATATGATGTCACTAGGTGCCCAGGCAGGCCATAAAACACTGGGAAGCAGCGTGGAGGGCCAGCGCTGGACAAAACGACCCGCGTTTAAAGGCGCTGGGCCGGCCCTTGACGCCTGTGAAATCACAGATCGGCTTCAGCCCGACTTTACGGCTTAAAGGGAGCAGTGGATCCCACTGTAAGGTGTCACCCCGCCGCCCCCCGCACACGCACACAACGGACTTTGCCCCTTACAGAGAGCAACATTAGCCCAAGACGGTTTAAAAGGTTAAAGTCAAGCATAGTTGTTGCTCCCCCCCCCCCCACTGATATGGCCAATGTGTAGTGGAGCATACACGCTTGCGCCATGTACTCAAGGCAAGTAAGCTGTATCCATCTCCGCTGAGATAAAGGGAGCCCTTGGATCTGAAAGCTATAGTAAATAAAAGAGAACAAGGATGACTCAAAAAAAACCCCTCAAATACACCGGTTTTTTAAAAGGAAAAAAAAACACCAAGGAAAAAGAGTACCTTCTTGTGTGTGTGTGTGTCTGCTGATTATTACCTTCGGAGACCGTCCCAGGGGCTGTTTAATATTAGCCCTGCTGATTACATCTGAGAGCTACGCCTGCTTCCCCGGACTGCTTTCCACGGGGTGTCTCCTTGGTTTAGCTCGACAGGAATGAATACCGGCGCGGGGCTTACAGGGCTGTAAATCTCCAAGGTCACCCGCGCGGCTCCGCGGCAGCCTGTGTTCCAGGGGGTTCTCGCAGGCTGCAGAGATGGGCCTGTTCCTTGTCTGCGGCGTTCACGTATCATAAACAAGCGCTCAGCCAAGACCACCAAGAGTTATCTCTCCAGTGGCCTGGACCAGGGTCCCCCCCCCCCCACCTCCTCTCTCCAGAGATTTATGGCTTCGCCGAGCAACCTCCGAACGAACCTGCACCGAAACCTGGCCTCGCCAAACGTCAGAGCCTCACACACCTTTTGCAAACGCACACAAAGGACCACATTTCAGCAATAGGGGACGGTCTCCTTTTTGGACCAGAAAAAAGCACCAAAGTTTCGCAGCAGGTCCGGAGATTCACCGAAAGGCAACCTGAGAGCCGGACGCCGATCTCATCTCGGACACAGTCAAACGGCGTGCAGAATCAGTCCCCCCTCCCTTTACTGTTCACTCCCCATGAACAAATAAGAACCAGTTTACAGATCGGGGCTCCTGTGTGTGCGTGCGTGTGTGTATCCAGGATAGATGTATGTATGTATGTATATATGTATGTATGTATGTGATTCATTTAAACTTTTCAACTTGTCCACGCGCCTGGGTGACAGAGAAGGGGAGAGAGACGGATGGGGTGGGGAGAGGGGAAGAGGGGAGCCGGGGGTTGTGGTGGGGAGACACCCGGCAGCCTGGCTTGAATTTGATTTGCGGCATTTTGAATATAGTTAACCCAGCTTTCCCTCCTGAATGCAACCCTGCCCCACGTTTCAAAGTGACCGAAAAGTGACACCGGGCGCATTTTGTTTCTTATTAATCTTACACATTGACAGTCTTTGTTAAATAACAAGGCGTGCCCTTCAGCAAGCGACATTTTCATATTTGTTAGACGCGCTGACCTGAAGTTCACCTCGCCCTTGGACTTAGTTTTTTCTTCCCTGCGAGGTCTTAAAAAGTGTCTTTTAAAAGATGGGGAGGGGGAGAGTGTCTTTGCTCAGGTCATTCACTCGAAAAGGAAAACGGAGAAGAAGAGCTGGTGGGGGGGGGGAGAGTGTAAACGTTATGAAATGGAACTCATTGATCTGTCTCTGGTTTTCCTGGAATCAGAAAAGACCCTGCAATGAAACGATGGAATCTGACTCTCTCCAAATTTGCTATTCCTTTTTCTTATGACTCCGACTTTTTAAGTACATTATTATTATTATTTTCCCCCAAATAGGTAACCATTCAGAGGGAGAGATCTGGTTGTCCAGGACTGTAAATGGTCCCTTGAAGGACCATAAATATCTTAATGCACCAAAAACGGTTCTTGGAAGAAATACTGTAACGCTTCCGCAGAAGGCAACACAAGCCCAGACGGCGGTTTTTAGTGCTGATAAATGTAAACTTGTTAAAGAGAAGACAATACTTCTTGAGATGGCTCTTGAAAAAGTTCTTGAGCCAGGAGGGTGAGGCCAAATTTCTCTTCTGTCCCTTTTACACAGGCCAGTGCTAAACAGACTAGCTCGCTTCCAAACAGACTCAAAGGAATATGATCTGTGCACGGGTCTGCCTATTTCTCTCTCTATAAATTGATATTTAGCAACACATTTCACCATGTTATTTAATGATTCATATAATGAAGGTTTCACGTGTGACTCTACCTGTGAGGCTGGGCAGACATAAATTTTAAATTCGATACACAAGCAACCTATGTTGTCACCAGGTGTTGTAGGTATCGTCTACCCACTGTCTGGCTTTATTTATTTATTTATTTAAACTCCAATGCAAATATTGAAGAGGAATCTGGGTATTCCGAGAAGGATGTGTTTATACAACGAAGAGATAAAAGAGTCACAGCTTTTCTGTACATTCTGGCACTTACACGTGTCTATAAATACGAAACTTTTTTAAAAAAGTGTTTTCAAGCCACCCCCCACATTTTATTCTCTCTGATGTTTTCTGATTTGAACGACCCTTTGGATATATTCGATTAGCAATTTACACTGTGCACCGAATCTGCCTATTAAATATTTTGTGTTTCTTCCAACCTAATGCGTAACTGTGGCCGCGCATGCTGAAAGAAAACCCCCCTCTAGAATTCGGAAGCAACCCTGTTAGGAAACCCAACTGATCCGTTCAAATAAATAAACACATTCCCATTTCTTCGAAAGAAAGGGTCCTCCAGACACCAAACAATTGTGTTGTTCGGCATTCAATGGCCCCAGCCTCCTCCTTCAGCAACAGTCAATTACTGCCAGCAGCGCAGTTTGCATAGGATCCGGAGTAATCGTTTCCGAAAGTCAAATCAGA